ACACATATTTATTTATTTATGCTTGGTTGGGTTAGGTTAAGTTTAAGCGAGGTTGGGTTTAATACGTGATCTAGAGATATGCATGTGCCATGTACTACATGCATGCACGTGTTATACGAGCTCGCTTTACTTATATTATATATATTTGCCCAACCATTATCGTTATCGTACCTTGCCCTATGTTTTGTCGTAGCTTGTCGCACATACACCCCACTAGCATATACTAGCTCATATAAATGGATCTAGTAATTGGATGTTCTGTATCGAACAATAATATTGATTATATAGGTTCCTCTTGAACTCTGCAGTACTATAGATGCATATACATTCTCTGAAGATATGTATGTGTATATGTATATATAGCTGCATGTCTTATATATTTATACCATGTGCTCATCTAGAACTCGACCGCACGATCTATATTTATGCACACACACACACGTACCCTACACTTTTAAAAGACACCTTGAAACGAGGATGGCCTCAAACCGTTTGAGCCCGAAGCTGAATTGTATAATCAAATTTAGAACTGTACGTGTACATATATTATACTAGACTACAATGCTAGGTATACGTGCATGTATATTATGAACTTTTACGACCCCTATCCTAAACAACCCAACCTCGTCCTTCCAAGGCTGCCACGGCTCGGATTGCCTCGTTGCAATCCTGCCTCTCCAGACAGCCGAGTACGCTGCTTGATCCGCCTGCTGTCCCAGGTGCACTCAAAGTGCAAGGTCAGATGCCATTGTCGTTTCATGTTACGTGATGCATTTAGGTCTTAAATCAATTATACAGAACGATCTACTACACCGAGGTGCCCCAGCAACAGCTTTGTCTTTGTCTGGGACTGGTGATGTGGCTGGAAAAAGTATCCGGAATCTTGGTAGCTTTAAAGCAAGCAGTGAGGATGCTCAGCGTGATCCCCTGTACCATGCCGACAGCCAGAGAACCCTGGAACTTCCCGGGACACCTGCAAGCTCGCCCAAGCCCTTGGTGGAAGAGACGGCCAAGCCCCTGATTTCTGTGGAGCCGGTCAAGACCCCTAAGAGAGAGAGGGGTCGATCCCACCACCGCCACAGCCGCCGACATAAGCGCGACAGTGATCGATCTACTTGCAAGAGGAAGCTTATGGCTTCCCCTGCGGCTTCGATTGTATTTAGGTCGCACACATGTTATAAATACCGGTGATCTTATATATATTTGCAACTATACCAATTTGTAATCCTAGGTGGCTCCTTCGAAAGCTGACCCGCCCAGCGATGATGCGAGCAGTGACGGCAAGCACTCCAAGTCTAGTACTGTTCGATCGCAGAGCCCCACATACTGGCGGTGGCTCGAATTAATATCAGATCAGTAATTAATATACTATTTTACTGCCAGTGCCCTTGTCAATTGAGGCTGCGACGATACTTCCAACCCAAGACCAATGGAACCCTGAAGTGTTCCAAAGAGGCACTTCAGCTCTATCAGAGCGAGACTGGACGCACCCCGATCAGCACTTACTGCATGGATCATTAATAGTCTTCCCCGGCCTCCAATCATCCATCAGCATCTCCAGGCAAGAAGCTCCACACCATCCTCAAGGAGAAGGGTGACTTCAAGCTTTTGGAAATGGCTGTGAAAAAGGTGCATCGGAAATTGTTCGGTCAGACCAAGTCTGGTGGCTGGTACACCAAGCACTATTTGGCGAACCAGTGCCATTGGACGAGGACTAGATTTATCTAGCCAGCACCTATCCAAGAAATCTCAACGGTGACTCTAGTGACTATCTTAATATGGTACGGTATGACCAGGCAGATGATTTCAGCGGCCTGGCAGTGGGCCAGCGCTCACGGGAACCTAAGGGTCAACGAGGTGCACAAGGAGGAGGAGGCAAGACTGGTGCTTTCAGACAGCTTTGAGTTGTTGGATGAAACTGGACAAGAAATCGCGATGACCGGCACCCTCGAGGTGGAGGCCCAGGGTTTCGCGGTTTTTCTAGAATGTACTACCCCAGCTAGTTATTATATAAGTAAATGAACTATAATGATCTTATTTGAACTAGTGGTAGTACTGCTGCTGCTGCTGCT